AAAAAAGTATATTTAATTATGATTTGTCATGCAAAGCCTTTTTACCATGTTAAATTTTCCATTTCAAAAATGTATTACTGTGTTATAAAATGAAACTACACTATTACATTTCTAAACATGCTATCTAAACATTTATCTACCGTTTCACGTTTTAACACTTTGAGTCACAATGTACATTGCAACCGTTGAGATCGAAAACACAATGTTTAGAATCATCTTCTCTGAGACTTTGGCAACCTCAAAAAGGATCTGTACTGAATTATTCAAATCCAATTCTGTTTTATCACAAGTGAATTCAGTCTTTACGATAAGTAGACTTTTCATGGAGAGTTTATAAACTTGAATTTGGGTAAAATATGCGATTGTTAGTTAGATGATGTATAAAAAAATTAATTATTTATTTTATTTAATAATACATTTATTTATTTAATATATTTTAGTGCAAAGCTGATTAGCTTATAGCCCTCACCTGAAAATAAAAAGTTTCCTGGTTTGAGCCTGAGAGAAGTCAGTCTTTCATTTTTCGTTCGATACTTGGCTCAGCAGTACTTAATCATTTAACATGAAAAAATGGTTTTGGCTATACAAAATGTTAACTTAGTCAGTGACAAGGCTACCCATATTGCAATACTCAATTTTACTCTCAACCCCCATTCATTTTTAGTTTGAAATACACACTTAACAATAAAATGCTGTTATCTATTAGTTGAACTTCGATAACAGTGATAAATCTTTGTGGTAAAACCAAGCGAGGAAAACAAGTGGCAACAGAGATCTGATAGTCTTAAACCAGCATTGTGTTTTTTTTTTTTTTTTTTTTTTTTTTTTTTTGGGGGGGGGGGGCGATACGCCATTTCTGAGGTACCGTGTCCGGTTTATCATCGGTACAACATTCACGGTAGCTCAGATGAGTCCTCTTCCCTGACATTATTATTTCATTTAATCTTAATAAATTTAACCACACTGTTTATAAGGCCTTCCTATCTTCCATACAGTACACATAGGTTGAATAAAAGGATGAACGCTTAAAAACACATTTAGCAAATATAGAGTATTTGTGAAGCAACTGTTACTATAGGTATTTTAACAATAAGTTTGGTATAAAAAATATCATCTATAGTCACTTTTGATAGGTTGAAGACGAATCATTGTTCATGAATTATAAATGCTTCTTTCGGTTAACGTCAATCAAATTTAGACAAGATAATATTGAATATTCTCTTTGTTAGTTCAAAGAACTCCGTGTGACTAACAACTACCCTGTTAAATTCATTAAAAACGTTGTTTATTAAAAATAGTAGGTGAACCACCTAGGGAGAGCATATTCATTCATGAAAAAAATTGTTTGAAAATTAGCTATTAATTGTTTTTGGGCTTAAAATTTACGGTTCCGATGGACGGGGTGTAATGTGAAGCTAACATACCCTTGATTCAGAATTGGTCACATTTTACCGAAGGCTTACGGATACCCTCAAATTTTCTTCTCTTAGTACATCAAATGTTCAATCTGTTAAGTACATAAAATACTAGAGAACTGTTTTAGAAATAAATTGAATGATTGTAATAATAAATACAATGCCAGCTTGATCTTTACGATTGTGTGTTAAATTAAATACAGTACCTTCAAGTCGTTTAGTGCTACTTTTCGAACTTACTATTAACTAACACTACCAGTTTCTCTTAACTAAATTCTACTAGAAACTAATCTCGAACTTGTATGGAAATGCTTACCTTTACAAGAGACATGTAAATACGGTTATGACACGCCAGATGTAAGATAAAAATCTGATTTGAAATTTAAATTGACACGCACTTTTTAGAGCATTAGAGATAAGGGAAGCCGGATTTTACAGAGGGGATTTATTTAACCAATTAAAAGTTGGGAAACTAAATGAGTTAAGGCAACATAAATCAGAATGTATATTATACTTCAATACTGCTAAAACATTTTAAATTAAAATGTATTCCAAAGTTATGGCAATTTATAGGTTGATATACATTTAATATACTTTCCTTTAAACAATTAATTTATTTTATATTCAATTTACGAAATCTTATACATTCCCATTATACCCCTTAACCCAACAAACTAATCTGCAGTTATATAACGATTTCTTGTCAACATGTAACGATATTTCTCGGTTAATCATAGCCCTAACAAAACTATATAAAAAAATAAAGTTGGTAATAATTATCAAACACATTTTACCCTCTTTTGTACGGTTTGACTAGAATTAACCTATTTGAAACCACATTTTATATTCCTTATCCCATCAATACATTTAGATACAAATGTAAAAGAGAACGACATACTTATCGTATGACCAGAATACACTCACGATAAAACCAAATTGGACCTGAATTATTCATTAAAGATCTCTTTTCATGAAACAAAACCCTCAGAAGACGGGGTTGTTTCTAGGTTATTTTGTTACAAATGTCTCGTTGATATTCATTGTTTATCAATAGTCACACAGAGAGAAGTACTAAGAACACTAAGAACAACATACCAAGATTTCAATACAGAAAGACAACGCTTAATTACAATTCGGTAAGGATAAAACTAATTTGACTGTGGTGTAATGAATTGTAACATGGTATTTAATTAAATACTATTCGATTTAAACTTTTTAAACTAGCATTATATGTGTAACTATGTTTCAATATACTTTTGTTTATTATTTACCAAGACTTTTGGAAAAGTGATATATATTTTGTCATACATTAAAACGTTATTAACGATGTTTGTGAACAGCTTGGTTGATGAACTAGGCTAATTATGATTTTCTCAAATTTAAAAGTTAAGTTGTGTGTATTGTTTTTTATGCAAATATGAGTTCCAAAATAAAGAACTTGTAGTATCTTGAATACATTTAGAACCAAGCTTTATCTAAATAGAGAGTTTACGTGGCTGAGAATATTTTACTAGTCTTTGCCACATTGATCAAAATATTTATTTCAAAAGCCAGGATTCCCATATGAAGATATATGCAATTTCGCACATATATCCATGTAATACACGTATCCAAGAACTGATGGCTTAGTCAACTATTGTGGGTTTGACTGCGTAACCAAATCCGTTATATATCGGTTTCATTTCTTAGAACTGCCACTAACAAAACCATATATAGGCCTACTACTGTTCATCCTGCTTAATCTTTATAATGAATTTAATCGTTTACCACTTGATATGCTGGAAATGTTCCATCACAGTCCTGATGGCAAATTATTTAGCAAAGTGGAGGTTAAAAGAGGCAATAGCCTTTTTCAGGAAATTAAAATTACTTTATGACTACTTAAGATAAAACTAACATAGTATTGTGAAAATATTATGATGATTTATTTGTATATGTGAGTTAATCATCATAATATTTTCTTTTACTTAATCGTGTTATTTAGGAAATTAATCATTACGAACAAACTGTGCTCTTTCCTTCGACCTTTTATTCTTGTTTTATTCCCTCAAAAAACAAAAAATAGTGGTAAAAAAGGATTAAAAATAGTTTACACCAAAAGTTTTGCTAAATTTATATTACACTTATTGTTATTCGTATATAATTGGCACTAACCTATTCGCTTAGTATTACAAGACACTTAGTTTTAATAAAAACACTAAAAACCAACATCTTCACGTTTTCCATGTGTAAGATATGCACTGATCTTGAGAAAATATAAGTTATGGTTCAAGGTAAAAGATAAAGAATAATGGTTCCTGAGAGCTGCTGGCATTATGTGATAAGTTCCTGTCAGTCTTGAATAAAGATCCGAAATTTATCACTTGGATTTATACGTGGGTAACTGTAGGTTGGTGTATTCAATTTACTGTACCTTCCTGAATACGTCTTTAGGGTGTTACAGGTTACAAAATTATGCTGTAAATAAATGTTTACAGTCACAAATACTCTCAATAAACAAACATTTACAAACCTTCCAAAAACCTCACAAACGTTCAACATCTTTTGGTAAAAATTTTAGTTTTATTTTTGTTTCTACTATCAGTTAATAGTGAGTAACTAAGTTCTTTACTTTTAATATTTCGTAAAATGGCTTAAATGTCGTACAAAATTGTGCTCATCATTTTTTATTCCTAATGTAGCACCTACCCAACAGGATGTATTACCTTATACATACTAAGGCTGTGTTGTTGACCACTTGTATCTTTTAAGGAATAAAATTAAAAAGATTTTTAAATAAAACTTGGCAGGTGACTAAGGAGATGATGTTCACACTAAAATTTATCATCAATTTACTCTTTTACGGAGTAGTAGGCTCTTTGAAGAAATCGCGTACAGCCATGGAAAACTTTTTCTCCCAAATACTGCTCTGTGTTTTTGAAGTCGGAATCTAGAAACATCAATTTTGCTTCTGCTGCGTATATTTTAGCTATGAAAATCTCCTCTGGCCTTTTGTAGCTCAATGTTTGACCAGGGGAGGAGGTTATATACTGCCCAATAACAGTATATACTATTAGCCTTCTAAAGATTGGCTTACAATGTTCAAAAGGAGCGCCAGATGTCATGGCTCTCAAGGCAGTTTCTTGTAGCCTAAGTACTCCATCACATCCTGAAGCCGCAGAGACGTATGCCGTACGGTAGGACTATGGAACATTCCGTGAAAATGTTTATAAGCTACTCTTCAGTCTAGCTTAAGTGAAGCCTCCCTTATTCTTATGGGTAATTAGACAGCGAAAATTATCAAACTTAAGTACCGGGTAGCATGTAACTTATGAAAAAATCTTAGTACTCAATTAAATGTCCTTTTAACTTGTTTAAAATAAGTTACGGAAATATAAAACATTTTTGTGTTTTAGCTGGAAAATCAATATTTTTACTATTGGTTTGAAAACGATTTTAGTCAACAGAAAACTGAACCTATTCGTATTCTACGGTCATAGCGTAAAAAGAAACCCCACAGTATTTGAAAGTGACTTTGAGCAGTTTTTTACGGTTTATTGATATGATAAACTGCGATTGATATGAGGTGATTTTCTGTTGTTGCAGAGACCAGCCCGTGTGATTGCAGCCCGCTCTCTAGCGTTGCAGTAGCCCTGGTCTTTCCTTTCCGGACTATATAACACCTTAGGTAAAATAATCCCATCACCATTAAGTTGAAGATATGTTAAATGATTTAACAGTATAGGTACCTAATGATCAGGTTTTTAACCTCGAGAAAATATATCGCCTTCGGAACTGAGCTAGTTGTCCTTGATCACTGGTCTTGAGTAAATAATCCATGCCAAAGACACAACAAAATCTTCGTCAATGACAGTCATTCTCACACATACATCCAGATTATAATACACTGCTTGTCGTCCCTGCTTCAGTGTATTGTAATACACGTATTTGTCTTGTATCAAATACACTTGTATCATATGTGTTATTAATAAACTAATTTTATAATACATAATGAGAACTTTGAATGTGTAAAAAGGTCCGAAGAGACAAAATTGGGAGTGTTTTGTTACCTATATTGATAATGGAGGGAGCAATTCCTGAATTCTGTATTTTTAAGATTATGTAATAAATTAAATTATATGTTAAGAATTGTTAAATTATTCGTTATACAAAATTATCACATAATAGAATAACTAATTTTGTAGTTGACTAATCCAATAGTTCTGTTTGGGGTTGTAGCCAAGGACAATTTTTATTTATTTATAATTCTCTTTTAGTTTAACATGATAAAGATAATCCTTACGCTAAACGTAAATAAATAAAACGGAATAAGACTTAGATTGATTAATTGTGATTCCTATCTTTGTTTGGATTTAATTTACTAAATTAAACTTTCCCTTTTAATATACGGTGACGTTGATTAACTTTGAATAAAAACTATTGTGATGTGTACAGAATTGTATCAAGTTTGGTTTAAATTCGTTTTCCTGTTTAAAAGAGGGTACAATAAACGAAACTTCTAGCGCTTAAAAGCTTTTTAAACTGTTGAATGTCAACAATTGACAGTGCATAATTAGGCATAATTAAATTTCTTCTTGCTCATGTACTGATATCTTTTTGACTACTTAAAAAAAGTAGACACCAGAATCCGCCGCCTTGTCTTGGTAGTTAAGTATCTGAGTATAAGCTATGACTGGTTTTTACTGCTTAATTAAGCAACGATTTGCAAAAGACGTACACTAATGTCTAGCTAATCTATTTGGCGAGGAAAAGTCCATTTAGCCTATTACATTACTTCCAAAATATTTTGTTTAACTTATGTTTATATTGATGTTCACCGATGGAAAAAATACTTACATAAGGAAATCCACGCAACTAAAAAAAAATCATAAAACTCCACTAAGGTTCGCTAAATTGAGGAAGTTATTCCGTCAGTACTCGGCATGATATAGAATTTCTTTTCCATTTGTATCTTATATATTTTTATGTTTTTTCTATCCACTAATATACAGCTAATGTGAGAAACCTAATAAGTGAAGTCAACACTGGCTGTCCATATTTTCTTTCTACTGATTATTTACATATAACTACATTTTACATGAACCTTTTTGTAACTTCCAAAACCTATTTTAGCCCCATTCCGAGACTTTTTAGATAAATAAATACTGAAACTTACAATAAAACATGATTGAGATAAGATGCGGGATGACTACAAGGACAAAATGATTATCATTCTCTACAGTACCTATCAGTTTGCCTGTATAGTAGTCACAAACTGTATTTGATTCATTGAAGTGTCGATTGTATGTTTAGATGGGCTCAATGAGGGCGTACACGGTGCTGATGTGGTTGCTGATACTTCTGGTGACGGTTGCTACGGGAAATGTCCCAGTCTATATGAGGGACAAACCCAGGTCGATACGGGGCTTCAAGAACCACGCACTGTCCACGGCTCGCGGTTTCGGCAAGAGAGCAGACTCCGAGATGATCAGTCCTGACATGCAACCTACTAATGAGGCCAACAGGTAAACTTGGAAACCCGAATCTTGAGGATTTATAATTGGATGGAACATCCAGTGTGGGACGACTTTGATTTGTTTTCGTAGCATCCACTCTCTGGACTATAACTCCTCCACATAAATCAATCGTATGAAAAGCTTCATTAATCCATAAATGTAAATCTAGGCTGCTAATATGATTTTACAATGAAAATCTGTAGGTAAAATTTGCATTTACTGATGCCTATCTACCTACGAGGAGTATATATATTTTTTTTGTATCAAACATTTTTGTTCACTCTAGAATGGGTTAAGACTTTCCCCTATAATTTTGTTTGTCTACCTACACTTCTTATTTAATACTGTAAACAGTTCTTTAGTTATCGGGAATGTAAGATGGCAACTTGAATGGATGCTTAGAGAGGGTTTAATGTGTGTGAAGTTTGAATAGGGTGACCACGCAATTCTTGCTATTCTCTAGTTCGCTCCGATGTGTGAAATATAAATTAATTGATCATATGATAGTTTGCTTTTTAAGTACACATTTTTTTGCGAATAGAATAAAGGGACAAGTAGTTTTTTCTACATTTATAAAATTTAATGGTTATCGATATTTGTTCACAGTTTCCCAGCAGATTGGTTTGCAGATGAACTACAAAATAACGGAGAGCTGGCACGACTAATAGTTCACAAGTTCATAGATTCGAATCAGGACGGAGAGCTGTCTGCAGATGAACTGTTAAGGCCATTGTTTGAAAAACCACAAGCTATCCCATATAAGTAAACCCACGACTAAAGCCTGGAGACACTGGAAGGCTTCGAACAACTACAAGTTATCTTTTATTAGATTTAGATTTTTATTGTTCCAATATGTTACTTGGACAAATTTATCACGGAAAGTATGAAAAAAAAACATAACGTAAGGAGAGGTATAGACATAAACTAGTTAATTTGTTGTATAAATATGACCCTTGCACTAACACTTTGGTTTGAAGCGACTTTTTTTAATTTGTTTGGTTAGGTTATCTTTAATGGTTATATTAAATGGAAGGATAGCCATATTCTTATATTATTTTCTTACCTATAGTTCAACCATTTTATGCTGTGTATACGGTAAACCATGTCTAACAGCCACATCAGTTGCTTAGTTGCAGGTTTGTGCTGCACAAGTATATGCAATATAGAGTATTTGTAAAGTAACGTCTTAACAAAGAGCGTTACTTCAATTTGATTCTAATACAAAAAATCCTCTAGAGCATACACCTTTATTTAAAACATTGCATTTTACCAATAAATAGAATAGTATATTTCATTACTAGGACCGAAAGTGGCATTTTCCGGAGCGCGCTCAAGTTTTTGTGTGAGGCGAAGCCGAACACAGGAAAATCCAATTTCACATGCGAGGCGAAGCCGAGTATGTGAGAGCTATTTTCACGTACGAGGCGAAGCCGAGGACGGGAATAATGGAGCAAGAGCCGGAAAATAACTTTCGGTACGAGTTATGAACGATACTTTTCATCACGACGCAAAAATACACAAACACAGAATAACAGACCTCAGTAATATTACAACTAGTTTATTTCTAAATTATTTATTTTAAACATCAAAATAAAATCTTCTAAAAGGAAACCTTTGTATATTTCTCGATTAATCTTTTTTTAAACATAAAAAAAATCCAAAGGGAACCTACTTAACAATCAAAAAATTAGAAGTTTATGGTTATGTTTATTGTACAGTTTTCATTGTTGGAGACATTCACTCCTTCGTTTAAAAGTTTTTTCTGAAGTTCTTGAATCGTTGAAACGTTTGTAGTGGTCGTGTTTGTTTCATCAACTTTTCTTATTTTTCTCTGAGGACATTCTTCATCTTCTGAGTTGTTAAACACATGATCAATGTCAAAAAAATCTATTTGGCTTCCTGAATGTGTTTTTTCTACAACATTTCTGTTTGTATTCTCAGCAGCTGTTGAACTCATTGCATGCGGATTTTAAAACAGTTTTCTTGACAGTTGTAATTTTCTTCCAATGGAATTTTCTATGTAACTCTCTGCGACATTAGAGGATTTCCAACCTCCGTGTGATTTAAGGGCAAGTAAATCCCCTCCTCCCTCAACTAGCATGGTGGCTGAGGTACGCCTGAGGGCGTGTCCAGTATAGCGCTCCGGTTCGTCTAATTTAAGGTATTCTGCTACCTTTTTTGGGATTGAACTGATTGTGTGACCCCCTACATTTTGTCCCACGCATTTACCCTTCCTGTAACCAATTAAAAATCGGTTACTTTTCATTTGTCTGGGGCGCAATAACAAATATTTGCGAATCAAATCACATGGTCTATATGGACAGTTGTCATTGGTTATGGTAAAACTGCGTTTAATGTGTGTTTTGCCATCGTTGAGAAACACGACAAAAAAACTGCCATTGTCTGTAATATCTTCTACTTTTAAATTTATAAGATCGTGGTTTCGACAAGCTCCATAAATACCCAGAGTTAGGATGACCTTGCTCAATAACCATTCATTGTCAGGAGCGTTAACCATGAATCTTTGAATTTCGTCTTCAGTAAAAACCTTAGCTTTTGTAGGTTGATAACCCACTGATTGACGTTTAAGAAATGCTAGAGATTTGTTAAATTTTGATACATCCACATTTTCTTTTAATTTCAAACCACTCTTTATCATAGAAAATTTACTCCACAACGTTGTTGGTTTCATGCTTTTAGATTTCTCAGATAAATATACTAATAAAACTTCGTCACTTACATTCTTTGGTAAAACATTGTGTCCTTGGCACCAGTCCATAAACTTCCTGAACTCCTCATTATACCTCTCTCTCGATTTCTCTGGAAGGAGGTTTTTGGTTATCTCTAAAGCTTTCTTCGATAAATCGTCCGAAATAATAGACATATTTTGGCCGCTTTTAAATACGCACTAAGCTAAAAACACAGCAAAACAAGCTTATGCCTGTTTATGTTTACATTTAGATTGTCAAACAATAAAAACAGCTGATTCAAATCATTAAATTAAACTGTAACAAAACACTAGCGCGCGTAGTGAATAAATGGAGAACTAATTGAGAGCGACGAAAGTAAATTTAGAGCGAGGGAAAAACAGCTGATCGATTTTTCCTCGCCCTAAATTAGAGCTTGGGAAACGGCTACTTTCATTGATGTCAGCTGTTATCGAAAATAGTTACTTTCGTTACGGAGTGATGAAAAAGAATTATTAACAAATTATCTAGCTTTTTAAAATATTACCAAAGTCAAATGGTATCCAGAATATTTCAAACCTCAATTTTACAAGCATATAGCATTTTTGGAGCCAAATTCCTTGAAAACACATTTGTTATGTTTATTTAGCTGTTTTAGTAGTAAAATTGGGGTTCCAGTTAGCCAATGTTAACTACTGTTGAATTGGTCTTGTATTAAAAGTTATTATTTTATAAATCAATCGAAAGAACGCTAGTTGTTCAACCACAAGGAATAATTCTTTGGAGAAACATTAATTTTAAACTTATTGTTAATACAAATAGTAATAGTAGTATTTTATTATAAAATAATTGCTTTTCTTATCAAAAACCCTTACCTCTCTTATAGGCTTAATGATTTCTTATCTAACTTAAATTGTATGAACAAACAATGAACATATTTGATCATCTTATAGTGTTGTAGTGTTTTGAAACATTGTTTGTACACCACAGTTTAGTGACTGAAGCTGTCTCCAGGCAACAGAACCCCATTTTTGGGTCGCGGGTTTTGAGCGACTCTCCTTTGAGCCCACCGACTTGGGTCGTTCAAAACCCCTCGACTCCTGTAAATAGTCTCTATGTTTTATTTTACTATCAATGTTGAGGTCAAAAGATGTTTACATAGTCTATGTAAATGGAGTAATTGTTTACAAATAAAATTCCATTTTACCGTTACCAAGCTGCAGAATTTTGACTTTTTATTCCCTACAAATCTCTTTATGTAGTAACAACAAAGGTTTATTAATAAACAAAGGTTTTCAATCACTTACGAATGTTTCTTTTGAGAAGACGTTATGCTGTGTTGAACTTAACTTAAGTAAATTAATAGCATTGTAATAAGGCAGGTGCATATAAAACCTTTTGTTCGAAATCTACTATTGGATACATTTGCCATCCATTTAAACACAGTGCAGAGCCAAATACTAACCAGTTCTTGCACGTTTCTTACCAAAGATCAACTACACCAGCCCGTAAATGTATTACAACTGGTTTTGAGTAGTCCAGACTCAATTAAATATAACCTTAATAAGAAAACTTTTTGGAAATTGGTTTCTTAGACATGAGGAGGAAAATGTAAACGACTTTAATTATGCTGGTTATCTTATGATTGAGATCTAAAGAGTCACACTAGCATGCCTTACATATAAATAATTTGTACGTGCTACGTACACTAAGAATTAGTCCAAGAATGAAACATAACAGAATTCTGCTCATATTTAAAGCAATAAGTACAATGGGTTAAACACATCTATCTTAAGCATACGTTTATTAATAATCATTCTTAGGTTCAAAAATAGAAAGTTATATGTTAGTCAACCTAATCCAATTAGTGTGCTAGCTAACCATTTTAATTTTAGTTCTCAATATCTATTCAAATTAATGAAATTTGGCAACAATTATGAAAAAAAAACTGAGTACGTGGTAGATGCAACAAACACAAGTAGCACGCCGTAATTTCAAAGTAACAGTATGATTAAAGTATTAAGTTGAACCAATCTATTTTAAACACCCAGTATAATTAAACTGGCATATTTTTTTGACATTTTTGTCCAATGTTATAGAGATCAAACCGAAAAGCTCATTTGATTGTTGCTGTTGTTATGGATTTGATTGTTAGGTTGGTACTGTTTAGGAGTGTATTCATACTTGACTTTTCTCTGACTAAAAGTAAACACATTCAAGACATCTGAGGAGCAAAATGACGTCTGTAAATAATTCTATTTTATAATTTGCACCAACAGATTGTTTAAGACTTCCATCACATAAGTAAGCAACGTTAAAGTATTTCCTATATTTCCTTCTATTTGTGATACATTGACAGATGAAAGACTTACTGAGGGATTAAATGCTCATGGTAGCTTGAAACATTGTACTTCCACGCCATAAAATATGAATCCCAAACTGTTAGAGGGTTAGTGGGGAGCCAATAACGTTTTAAGTGGATTTACCCACAATGGAGTTTGGTTTATTTGGCACATTGCCTTATACGATGTGGATATAGCAAACACACTGAATGGTGACTGGTTTACATAATCTATGTAGTGTTGAGGATAATGTTGAGTTGCATTATTAGTTTTATTAGGATCATTTAAAATAATATTTGTATTACAATCACATTGTTACTGAATTAATTTAGTCCCCTTCATCTCTGAAATACTTCGCAAAATGTCTGATCTGAAACACGAGTAAAACAAAGTTTTTTTTACTACAAACTACCAATAACGGTACAAAAAATGGGAGAAATTACATATTTTTTTAATCTGGGACAAAATTTTTGTGATTAAGGGATATTTTTGGCAATTTATATCCTAAAATTTCGATATATCACTTTTTGTTACCAAAAATAAAGTTGGGCTTCTTGTTTCCTAAAATTGTCAATATACTACAAACCCTCAAACTATTTACTCATTAAAAGAAAAATGTATATTGTAAGCCTATAATCTAGACGAATTTCCAAGCACGATGATTTTTTTTATAATTGTATATACTGTTTATACGTGTTCAATATAATCATATAAATGCCATTTTCAAGTTAGAAACACGTACCAGGTTATTTTTCAATCATAAATAACAATGCAATATTAGAAAACACTGATCATTTATGTACATTAATATAAATTTATTGAATTTCCCAAAAAAACCCACGCTTCGACCTCTGAAGGTTGTATTGCTCTGAACCCACACAACATTGCGAGATTGTTATCAAAATATTGCGACCACTTTTCAAGGTAAGGTTTAATAATATTAGAATTTGTCTGAACGTAACTCTTTTTATAAGCAAATGATATTTCAGTGGCTCGATTGTAGTGCTTATACAAATATGTTTATTTAATTGTACAAGGTTTTCGTTTGTGTCATGAGTATGAGTTTTTTAACTTATATAATATAAACCTAATTTTACACTACTAATTAGAAGGAAATTATTTAAAATATCAATCTTACTCATGTTGGGATGAATTCCTATCAACGAAATTGTGTTTTTTTTTTAATTGATTTAAGAAAATAACTTCTTTATACTAACAAAAAGGAACTTTGTAGGCCATTGGGGTAGTAATCGTGATCGGTCTCGGCTTACCGACTAAATGCACAAACAAAATAATTAATTTGATTTAACAACCCTGAGTGAATAAGTAAATAGAAATTTGTTAATTCAAATAAAAAGATTACCAAGTTTATCCTCTAACAAGTAAAACCTATTATGGTATTTAGTTTAAATTTGGTAATTAGTTTACTAAAAAAACATACTTTGGGTGTTACTTTCCAAAGTAAAAAGTAAACGTCACACCAGTTTAATTTTATAAGACTGGCTGTATTTAACCTTACTGATGTAAGTAGTAAATACATATAGACACAGTTTCTGATTATTTTGAAGGCCGCTTAAAACCCATGGAATATTAGTTTTCGTTGAGTTTTTTTTTTATTCACACATCCAGATTAAATAATTGTTTGCTTGAGAAATGCAAATCTTATCAATTTCAGAATAGTGATTTAAAACCACTACATAATCTTAACGTTACGAAACCATACGAATGTTACCCAACGTAACAATGGAATAACAATTTTAGTTGGAAATTCAGACCAATCGTTTTAACTTGAAACAATTGTCAAAATATTGAAGTACACATAACTTGAAGCACACTTAATGTTGTATATAAAGTAAAATATATTTTAAATACAAAATAATCATAAACTTTCAGTCTGCTGTAAACTAAACACATAAAAAAGTACAACAAAGTTGTGTGTGGAACCTTGTTGGGGTATAAAAATTTATAATTTACTGTTAAACATCCCTTGTTATACAGGATATTAAGTATTTAATGGATTTACCTAGTTAAGTACTTCCTAAACCTACAACACAATTTTGACAGCTCAATGTGTATTGTCTGATTAAAAGATTGATATGACAAAATGTCAACCAAGATATTTATGCAATATAATTATTACATGTATTGGAAAATAATATTCTTACTAACCTTTGCACAAGTATTTACAAGTAATTCATACAAATAAACTGCAAATCACATGTAAAATAAATCATAAGAATTATTGATCCTTACAGAAATATTGTTTATTCTCTGAAAAGAAAACAAGGTAAGCTTGTCTTTAACAAACACTACACCTTGTAGCTAAGGAATAAGCTGACAAGATCACTGAGCCTGTGTCCCATCTTTGAGTTGCGTTTCGCCTTCAAGTAGTGTTTTATGTTAAAAGTATTTTTATTTAGTTTTTTTTTTTTTTTTACTAGACACCTTAAGTCACAGTCTATCCATAGACGATGCTAAATTAAAACTAACTCTACTGTCTACTACCAATACGATTTACAGACTTCACCAAGAATACAAAATGACTACTCTTGTTAAACAACGAAACGCTTTTAGAATTTTGTATGTTAAAAATTAGTTTTATTATCAATTAAAATATAATTTAATGCGTATTAGTTAGGCCCATAGAATTTATTTACAGAAACGTTTCAAGTTTCCAACCCTACACGAAGGGGATTAAGGACTACCCTTAGGCACAGCACTCTTGCCATAATCTACCCTCTCTTATCCACCACCGTCGGACGTGCCTCGTTACTACTACCACAGAAAACAATAGTATGTTTTCTGTGCTACTACTTAGAAGATGGCCACGATATTAACCCGAAGACTACGGTGTTTCAGACCTTTTATTTGACTTTCAGTCGGAAAGATATTGTATTTCATACTGCATATTGTAGAAATCCTTCTGGAAATACAAATTTTTTGAAAACTTTGGAGTATGCATTTGTAGAAAAATTATAAAGCTAAACCAATAACTAACCCTTTTCAATTTCTTCAATATTTAAGTGAAAATTGATTGTAAAAAGAATGTATTTCCACATTCATAGCTAGATATAGTTTAATGAAATTCCATACAGTTTAAATCCAATATCAAATATCACCGGTCACAAAGATATAATGAACAACAGAACAAAAACAAAAGTTTTGATAACAGAGTGATTTCTATGGTTATACCGGTACCTAAACAGTTGCACGTGCAAGCATTAAACCTTATGTATGTTTCTATCAGTAAGTTGTTTAAGTTGACTATCTTCAAAACTGATCTAAAGAGTACTACGTGATTCTATTCTGCGTTTTGATCTCATCACGATAAACGAGTACTACAGCTGCTTTGAAACCAGTTAGTGTTTAGAGATTTCATATATATTTCAAACAACTATAAAATTTAAAATTTTGACTTCAAAAAAGATAAACGGAAGTGGTAATACGTCTAAAACAAACACTTTTCTGTTAATTGCTATGTGACTTAGTAGTTTGGCTAAATAAAACTGTGATCACATATAGTTTATTAGTTTGTTACCATGCATTACAAGAGCAGATAGGGGGGGGGGGGTTTACAAAATTGCAGTAGAAGATAAATCCAATTATTATGTTTCAGTACGATGAACGTTGTAGCAAAATAATGTTTCACTGCATAGTTTGCCAAAGTTCATAACACAAACATGACTACTTACAGATTTGTATTATCAAAAGTTTATAAGGTATACATGGAGAAATTAGCTTAGACGGAATTGAATGCGCACAAATTTAGCCTATGGGCAACGAATAACCCAAAATGTATTTTGTAAGAAACAAACGAAAATGAATAAAAACCTCACAATAAAAGCTGTTTTTGTCTTGAATAAATCCAATTTGTA